GCTCTCCATGGCAAAACCATCAAAGCCAAAGGAACCCTTGGCACCATGGAGTCAAGCATTGTGTTTCTTGGCATGGGCCCCCACTGTAGAGTTCGGAGGCGCTTCCCCTCGACCTGGCGCGGGGCGGGCAGGGTTTCACAGGGACACGCGTGGCGCCAGATCTTCATGGTGGAGCGCTCGCGCACTGCCTGCCACCTGTGGCTCATTGGCGGACTGACGAGCTCCACAGGGCGAAACTTGTATCACCGCAGTGGAGGGTTTTGCACCTTGAGACTGCCGCGCCGCACCAAACGGGAGGGGGCGACGGGGACGACGGCAACGACGAAAACGGGCGGGGGCGACGGGAACGACGAGAGCGACGGGACGGGGAGGGGACCACGGGAACGACGGGAACCGCGGGAGCGGGCGGGGACGACGGGAACGACGGGAGCCGCGCGGGGGGGCGGGGGGACGACGGGGACGACGGGAAGGGGCGGGGACGGCGCCAACGACGAGAAGGTGCGGGAACGACGGGCAGGGCCAGGGCACCTTCGTCCCACTCCAGCGCGTCGCACGCCAGCCACTCGCCCGCCGGCGGGGGGCCCGCGAGGGCCGAGCGCAGCACGCCCGCGATGAGCTCTGTGGGCCGCTTTTTGCGGGAGGGAGGGCGAGGAGGGCGAGGAGGATGGGAGGAGGAGGAGGAGGAGGAGGAGGAGGAGGAGGAGGAGGAGGAGGAGGAGGAGGAGGAGGAGGAGGAGGAGGAGGAGGAGGGGAGGAGGAGGAGGAGGAAGGAGGAGGAAAGGGATGATGATGATGATGATGATGAGGAGGAGGAGGAGGAGGAGGAGGAGGAGTTTTTAAACCCGCGTGTTCCCGCCCGCGAGTGGGCGCCCCTGGTCTCGTCACTCCGCGCGGGCCGAAAGGCCCGAGGCGGGGTGGGCCAGCGGCTTCAACTCACGGCGTCTTACTGCCGCCACTCTGCGACTCATGGAGTCGCCCCGAGAGCAGCGGCAGTCTGAAGAAATGCTGCCGCTGCCCTCTCAGAGCTTGAGGAGCAGCCTGATGGACGGCCGCTGCCGCTCCTCCGCCCTGCGCTCTTCCAGGGGCCGCCCTGGCTGCTGGTCCCTGGACTCATGGGCCTTCTCGATCGCCCTGCCTGGCGCAGAGCTGTGGCCTAACCCCTCGCCACGCTGGGGCGCGTTGCGGCCTAACCCCTCGCCGCGCAGGGGTCCTCCGTGGCCTAACCCCTCGCCGCGCTGGGGGTCGGTGCGGTCTAGCCCCTCACCGCGCTGGGGATACTCGTGGCCTAACCCCTCGCCACGCTGGGGGCTGCTGCGGTCTAACCCCTCACCGCGCTGGGGCGCTCCGTGGCCTAACCCCTCGCCACGCAGGGGCCTGTTGCGGTCTAACCCCTCACCGCGCTGGGGTGCTCCGTGGTGGCCTAACCCCTCGCCGCGCTGGGGTCTGTTGCGGTCTAACCCCTCACCGCGCTGGGGCCCATCGTGGCTTGACCCCTCGCCACACTGGGGGTCAATGCGGTCTAACCCCTCACCGCGCTGGGGAATGCCGTGGCCTAACCCCTCGCCACGCTGGGGGCTGCTGCGGTCTAACCCCTCACCGCGCTGGGGTGCTTCGTGGCCTAACCCCTCGCCACGCAGGGGCCTGTTGCGGTCTAACCCCTCACCGCGCTGGGGTCCCTTGTGGCCTAACCCCTCGCCACGCGGGGGCCTGCTGCTGTCTGTCCCCTCTCCTCTGTGGGGTCCTCCGTGGCCTAACCCCTCGCCACGCTGGGGATCGTTGCGGTCTAACCCCTCACCGCGCTGGGGTACTCCGTGGCCTAACCCCTCGCCACGCTGGGGCCTGCTGCGGTCTAACCCCTCACCGCGCGGGGGTACGCCGCGTCTTGCACTGTCCCCATCCTCGGTGCTGCTGCCCCCTGGCTCGGGCGGGGTCCCGCGACTTTGCCACTCGCTGTGTTCGCGGTTCACGTGGTATCCGCGGGCCGTGCCCTCCCCCTCGCGTTCAGACTGTCGGTTTCCCAGGGTTTGGGTCCGCTCTGTTAGTTGCGAGGTCCTGTCTACCACACTGTTGGTCAAAAGGTCCGCGTTTTGCTCATTGGGCACGTCATAGGCATCCGCCTCAAGCCTCTGCTTGCCTTTGGTCCTGCGGCCTGCCCCCTCATCGCGCAGGGGATTTCCGTGGCCTAACCCCTCGCCACGCAGGGGTGCCTTGCGGTCTACCCCCTCACCGCGCTGGGGTGGGTCGCCGACGATCTTATTCAAGTCCCGCTGCAGGCCTGTATCGTCGTAGTCTGCCGCCTTCTCAGGCTGCGCTGATTTGTGGCCTAACCCCTCGCCACGCGGGGGATCGCCGAGCCTCGTACTGTCCCCATCCTCGGTGCTGCTGCACTCTGGCTGAGGCGAGGTCCCCCGACTATGCCTCTCGCTGTGTTCGCGGTTCACGTGGTATCCGCGGGCCAAGCCCTCCCCCTCGCGTTCAGTCTGTCGGTTTCCCAGGGTATGGGTCCGCTCTGTTAGTTGCGAGGTCCTGTCTACCACACTGTTGGTCAAGACGTCCGCGTCATGCTCACTGGGCTCGTCAGGGACCTCCGCCTCGATCCTCTGCTTGTCTTTGGATCTGCGGTCTAACCCCTCACCGCGCTGGGGTCCTCCGTGGCCTAACCCCTCGCCACGCTGGGGTCCTCTGCGGTCTGCCAGGTGGTACCCTATGCTGTGCTGTGCATCTGGGAACTGCTGGTGGTTGTCTTCGCTGCACTGCTTGTCTTCGTCCTGCTGGGGGCTGTCCTCTCTGTTCTCCTCTTCAGGGCAGTGGTCGAGGTCTGCCATGTCCTTGGTGCTGCGTTCTGCTGGTGGGGGACGGGCACCCCTCTGCATCCCGTCTGGCGCAGGGCTGTGGCCTAACCCCTCGCCACGCTGGGGTCCTCTTCGGCCTAACCCCTCGCCGCGCGGGGGTCCTTGGTGGCCTGTCCCCTCTCCGCACAGGGGCCTCCTCGGCTGTGTGGCTGGAGCCCTGCTTGGTACTCGCCCTGCTGCTTGTGGTCGCGGGCTGCGGCTCCTCACTTCTGGCTCAGTCACGCCCAGGATCTGCTCAGCCGTAGCTCTGCGCCGCTCTGCCTCCTTCGGGTCCTGCTGCTGGATCTGTCTACGCTCCTCTCCGCTGTTGAGCCATGCCAGGCGGCAGATCTCCTCCGCCGCTCGGCGCTGGCTGCGCTGGCGGCTCGTCCCTGACACGTGGCTGAAAAGCCTCTGATAGACTCCAGTCTGCAGCGCCCTCATCACATGGGGCACGCACGCGGCCTGCCACGATGGCCAGCCCAGCTCGCCCTCTTTCTGGCTCCAACTGCCTGCCAGCGACTGCATGAGCTGCTCGAGCCTGTTCCTCTCGAGCCACGCCACCTCCTGCTCGGGGTCCTGGTCGGCTTTTCCTTTGTTGTGTCGAAGCCTTGGGTGGAGCAAGCCGGCCTCGTCAGCTTCGCTCGCGAACTTCATCAGGTCGGGCCCCACTGGCGTGGTCAGCGTTACTGCCACCTGCACTGCCGTCTGCATCAGGCTGTTGGCGTCGTGCCTCTGATCAGGTCCCGCCATGGTCTCCATCTCCTGGCTGCTCGGCTCACCCTCCAGCTCTGGGGCTTCACTGTCTGGGGTCGAGTCATCATCGTCCAGGTTCTCTGGTGACCACTCTCGGCTGGCCTCCGCTGTTCTCGGCAGCGGCCTGCGCTCACTGCTGGGGATGCTGTGCGCTATGATGTTGTTCCTTCTGTTGTGGAAGGCGTCCATGTGCACTCTAGCTGCCTGCTGCCATGTGCCATGCGGGAGGGTAAGCATCCTGGTCATGAGCCTCCGTCGCGTGCGGTGCGTGTTGCGCCAGACTTCTTCGCAGAAGTCCTTTATCTGCTGGATCTCCTGCACGGTGACGGCCCTGGTCTGCTCTTGCGTGTCCGTTCTGCCACCCACATTGGTGATGGCCAAGAGGTACGGTACGCGGTGCTCCATCCAGTCGCCCATGTCGTCCCAGACCTCTTGGTCGACCATGTTCATCCACAGCTCTGCGTAGCCTTCCATGTGGTCGACGAGCCTCAAGCTGGCGTGGACGACAGAGTACGGATGGCTGGGCGGCTGCTGCGGAGCTGGCTGCGGGTCCCCTGCCTCTGAGCTGTCCCCGTCCAGATCGATCACCTCGTGGTTGCTCAGGCCGAGCTTGAAGCCACCTGGCATGGTGATCTCGTCGAGACCCTCATCAGCTGGGTCTGCTGCTGGCTTTGCTCCTCTAGGCAGCTTGCCCCTCTGCATGTTCTCCAAGACTCGCCTCCCTGCTGCTGTTGGGGGCTGACATGGCCTTGCCAGCTTCCTTGCCACTCCTGCCACGATCCTGCTCTTGTGGTCCCCAAGGTAGCTAGTGCCGCCACATTTCTCGCACCAGAGCCAGCCATGGGTGTACTGCGTCTTGTGGGAGCCGTCCACCACCTGCGTGCCGATCTGCACCGCCTTGAAGTCGAGCCTGACGTTGCCGTGCTGGTCCTGGTGGCCGCCGTACTTCCCGAGGCATTTTCCCGTCTCTGCCAACCAGTCTCTGATGCTTTGTCCTTTGGCTGGGCCACTGCGGCACGTTGCACACCACCATCGCGGATGTAGTTTTCGCAGGTCGTGTCCCTGCTGGGCTGCCCTGTCCCTCACCGTCTGCGGCTTTCGCCGCTTGGCCTTGGGACGCTGAGGGGCCTTGTTGGGGTCCTCCACCATCACCGCCATGTTGATGGCCAGCAGCCTGTTCTGCACCGCCATGGTGATCTGGTCTCTGATCTGCTGCTGCATGATGATAGCTGGATCCAGTGCTCCGTGCTCCGCCCCCCAGCCTGCGTACTTGTCCGCCATCTCGTTTCCTATGACCCACCAGGTGGGACCATTCCACCTCTCCAGCTCTGTTGGGTGCTCAATAAGGTGGCTCGGGATGTGGTGGCCCATGATGGTGTCCTTGTTGTTCTGTAGCTGCTGCTTCGTCTGGAGTCAGAGGTCGTAGTTCGTGCTCCTGTAGTCCAGATCCTCAGGGTCCTGGATCTGCTTGAGTGCGTCCAGGGCGTATTTGCAATCGCTGACTATGTTTAGCCCCCTGGCTGTCGCCGCCGTGGTGTAGCCGATGGCTTTGCTCGTGGCGGTGAGCTCTGCCCGTGGCACCGTGTGCGGTGCCCTGATTGTGCCGTACCAGGCAGCCACTTCCTGCGGACGACCTTGTTCGTCGAACCTGAATGCCACCACTGCCCAGCCGCAGCGTCTGAGGCGGGGGTCCCTGGCCGTTTCCCCTGCACCACCTGAGCCGTCCGTAAAACATAGTCTGCTCGCACCTTGTGCCCTGGCTGGGCTGCAGCTTGTGCCTCTTCACTGGTGCAGAAGATCTGCGCCGCCTTCGCCGCGTCCTCGTCTGGGTCGACCTTGGCTGCCCAGGCCGCTGGCGGGATGCCTCGGAGCCAGAAGTGCAGGTCCTGCCGCTGGTCCAGCGCGTCCTTCGCCTTCTTCGCCAGGTCGGTGTCATTGCTGTGCCCTATTTCTGCGTTGGCAGGGCAGGCGTAGTAGCGGTGTTCCTCTGTCTCTATCGCCTCGCCGCATCTCGCGCAGGTGTCATCGCCTTCTTTGTTGAGGATGGCCGCCCTGCGACGCTCCCTGGTCCAGATGCCTGCCACCGCTATGGTCTCCAGCATTGCTGCCTCTGCATGCTGTCCTTTACGCCTCCTTCTTCTCAGGTGGCGCTGCAGCTGATAGAGGTCGCCTCCAGCCTGAAGTCCTTCTCCACTGCGATGACCAGCTGCCTGCTGCCAGAGCTGCTGCTGCGCGCTCTGCTGGACCTCATGCAGGAGCGCGCCGAAGTGGGGAACGTCATCTGGCTTGTAGGCCCACTCGTCACCTGCTGGGCTGATCCAGCTGTCCAGGCGTCGCGGTATCCAGCCTAACCCAAGCAACTGCACAATGACCCCTGCCATGGGCCCCTTGACCTGCTGCCACCTGCGGTTGGGTTCCAGGGCGCCCAGCTTGGCGTAGAGCAGGAGCCAGCCCCTCTGGTACCTCTTGAGCTCCGTCGGGTGGTCGACTACGGTGAGCCAGAACTGCTTGATCTGGTCGCCGATGGCTCGGGTTACTGCCTCTTGCATACCCCTCTGGATCAGGAGGATGGTGGACGTGCAGCGTCCAGCCTTGTGTCCGCCTGTGAGGAGCGCTGCCTCCGTTGCCCTGACCAACTTCGCCTCCGTGGGCGTGATGCCGTGCGCTGGTAAGTCCCAAGCCTGCTGGCAGTAGGCACCTGCTGCATAGACCTTTGCCGCGCCTCTGGCGTCCGTCTTCGCCAGGTCCCTGAGCTTGGCCACCCTCTGCTTGGCCTTGGCCTGGCGCGCGGCATGGGTGGGTCGCCGCAGTTGCTTCCCAAGGCTGGTGTCCACGCCGAGGTCGCGCACTACCCCTGGTTGCTTGTTGGGGGTGCCCAGGCTGTCCAGGATGCTGGCGACTTCTGCCTGGAGGTCCTTGTCCGAGGCCACCACTGCCGTCTTGACTGAGATGGGGATCGCGAGCTGCTTGAAACCATCGTGCACCAGCGCCGCCACGTGCTTGATCTGGTCAATGACCTGCCGCCGCGCGCCCTCCACCTGCAGGGCCAAGTCGTCCAGGTACTGCTGCATGACGACGAAGATATGGTGCCTGTGCGCTGCATCCAGGATACCATACAAGAGCGGTCTGGTGAGGTCTACCGCTTGGCCACAGCCTGCTACCATGCTGTTGGCAGGCTCAAAGATGTCCGAGAAGAGGCTGTGGGCCATGATGGCCCTGGGCGCAAGGTACATCTGCACGGCCATTGCCAGCGGCAGCAACGGGTACTGGAGGGCACTGGCCTTCTCGATCAGCTGGTCGAGGCCTATGTTGTCGTAGAAGTTTGCCGCGTCATAGAACACTCCTGCTGCATGAAAGCCCATCTCCGTGGCGGCTTCTGCCCTCATAAGTCTGTGCATTGCCACTCGTAGCGCTGAGGAGCCAGCTACTGCCGTATCCCAGAAGCCCGCCGCTGCCTTGCTCCAGGTGGCTACTATGGGCCTCCTGGCTGCGCTCCAGATGCGGTACGGCATGGGCATGAGGCCGATGGGGCGCTCTCCCCCGATCCCTGGCTTTTTACCCAGCAGCAGCTCCAGCACCAGGTAGAATTGCCACGGCCAGGCTGCCCGTTGCTCACAGCTGGTCAGGCACTGCACGAAATCTTCCAGCCCCTGGGCTCCCATGGCCTTGAGCTCTGGAGCCCTCCACCAGTCCGCTCCTTGGCCTGCATTGCTCTTCAGGTGCTGTATGATGGAGCCTATGATGTCCTTGCTGATAAGGAGGAGGAGGAAGAGGAGGAGGAGGAGGAGGAGGAACAAACCGCCCCCCTTCCCCTATCATCCGTCCTCCGTCCTCCGGCGCCCCCTCTTCCCTCCCTCCTCCCTCCGCCCTCCTCTCTCGTCCCTCTCCCTCCTCCATCCTCCATGCTCGCCGTGCTCGTCCACGCAGCGAGTCATGCAAGTGTCCACCCAGTCGTCGCTTCGTCTTCCGCGGCCGCCTCGTCCTCCTCTTCCTCCCTCCTCCTTGAGCTCTAGCTTCATCCACTTGGGCTTCCGTTCCACTCCTCCACCCCAAACTTGTGCCAATCATGCGTCATGGACCTTCTCCTCGTCCTCGTCCAACGTACGCTTCCTGCCGCCCTCTCGCTTCTGCGCGTTGGGGCCGCCTGGGACTCAAGGCTCGGCCTCCCTTCCCCGAGGAAGGTGGCGCTCGAAACAAGTGCCCCCCCCTCCGCTCTCGGGGTGGAAGCCTTCAGCAAGATGGCGCAACGACTGCTACCAGGCGAAGTCCGACCGAGCAACCGACCTCGTACCTCTGCCTCTCCCTCCTATTCCCGCCGCACCCTCGCCCCTCCTCCCGTTCCTCGATGCGTCCCGCGCCCTCTTCGCTGACCCTCCCTACTCATCTTCCTTTCCCCTCCCCCCGTCCTCGTCCTTCTTGTTAACGTCAGCCAAAGTTGGACCGGCTATATGAGATCGCAGCGTGCGGCTGACACCTGAAAGATGTGCCGACTTAGGCGTAGCAGTAAACGCCAAGACTTCAACGCGCAGCGGGGAACCGAACCGAGAAGATAAGCATGACACAGGGTAGCCTGTCAGGCGCAGAGTATGCGTGCTGTGGGGTGGGGGGTGAGGGGTGGGGTTAGGTCGGGTATGTCCTCCTACAGGCGGATTTTGGACGAAGCATGCGACATAGTCCAAACATGCTCCAACATGGTTAAAAGATAATAGAAACATCATCCCCAGACTATTTTCCCATATGCTAAGATGGGGTTCTTATTCCCCATATCCAAAGGATGAGGTTCTTGATATTCTCCGACCTCGCCGGACCACCTACCATGATGATGACCATGGTTTGGTGAGAGTATGATGTGAGTACGAGGGTGATGGTGAATGATGGATGAGTATGATGATGATAGGAATGATGATGATGCTGATGACGATGATGATGATGATGATGATGATGATGATGATGATGATGCTGATGGTGATGATGCTAATTCCCCATATCCAAAGAGATGGGGTTCTTGTTATTGGCAGACCGCGCCGGGGGAACACAGGAACACCCTCACCTCCTCTGACTCACTCATCACTCAGACTCACTCATCACTCGGACTCAGTCATGACTCAGACTCATCACTCATCACTCAGACTCACTCATCACTCAGACTCACTCATCCCTCAGACTCACTCGTACTTGTACTCATACATTCACTACACTCACTCAGGTCCACTCATCGGATGACTCACACACACACACACACACACACGCTGATGTTGAGGATGTCTCAGGCGATTCGCTCGTCTCCGCACTCTAAGGGGAGCGGCGGGTGGGTATTGCACGGGTCCCGTTCGCGGAATTTTGTGGGGATGTCTCGAGCGGTTTGCCTGTTTTCTGTCCCAGCGTCCTTCGCTTTCGGAACAGATTTGGAGGATGTCTCGAGCGATGCGCTCATTTTCACGTTCCTAAGGGGAGCGGCGGGGGGTATTGCACTCGGCCCCTTTCGCGGGATTTTGTGGGGATGTCTCGAGCGGTTTGCCTGTTTTCTGTCCCAACATCCTTCGCTTTCGGAGTAGATTTGGAGGATGTCTCGAGCGAGGCGCTCATTTTCACGTTCCTAAAGTGAGCGGCGGGGGGGTATTGCACTCGGCCCCTTTCGCGGGATTTTGTGGGGATGTCTCGAGCGGTTTGCCTGTTTTCTGTCCCAACATCCTTCGCTTTCGGAGTAGATTTGGAGGATGTCTCGAGCGAGGCGCTCATTTTCACGTTCCTAAAGTGAGCTGCGGGGGGTATTGCACTCGGCCCCTTTCGCGGGATTTTGTGGGGATGTCTCGAGCGGTTTGCCTGTTTTCTGTCCCAACATCCTTCGTTTTCGGAGCAGATTTGGAGGATGTCTCGAGCGAGGCGCTCATTTTCACCTCCCAGGTGGGCCAGATTATGCCACAGGAGGCTCCAACAGGCTCCAGGAGGCCCCAGGAGACCACATGAGGTCCCAGGAGGCCACAGAAAAACTCAAGAGGCCACATGATGTCCCAAGAGGCTCCATGAGGCCCCAGGAAGCTCCAGAAGGCCTCAGGAAACCACAGGAGGCCCCAGGAGGCAACAGGAAGCGCCAGGAGGCCTCGGAAGGCAACAAGAGGCCCCGAGAGGCCCCAGGAGCAGGAGGCCTCAGAAGGCAACAGGAGTGGCTCCAATCCCATGTGTTTTACGTATGCTCCTATCGATTGGGCCTCACCTGGAGCACGATTCTTTGATGTTATACGTATGTTTCTATAGATTGTCCTTCTCCTGTGTACACAATCCTACATGTTTTACTTATGTTCCTATCTATTGGGCCTCTCCTGGGGCCCGAGTCCTTGGCGCTTTACGCGTGTTCTTATAGATTGCCCTTCTCCTGTGGCTCTAATCCGCAAGGTTTTATGTACGTCTGTTGCTATATATTGCGCCTCTCCTGGGGCACGACACCTCCCTAGGAGGTCCCAGGAGGCCCCAAGAAGCTCCTGGAGACCCCAGGAAGCCCCAATAGGTTTCAGGAGGCCCCAGGAGGCCCCAGGAGGTCCCAGGCTCATGCAAAAACAGACGCGCTCGTACTACTGAGGCTCATCCACACTCCAATTCATTCGCGCTTAGATGTATGCCCAAACCGTCACAACTGAAGCCCGTGTATATTCGAAACCTCTTGCGCCTAGACATTCACGGCGGACAGGTCCATGCGAATAGATGCACATATGGGGAGCTCCACGCAGTGAATAATTATTAGGATAATGACGATGATGCTGATGTTGATGATGATGATGCTGATCATGCTGATGATCATGATGATGCTGATGATGATGTTGATGATGATGATGCTGATGCTGATGATGCGCAGACGATGAGGATGTCTCGAGCGGCTTGCTGGTTTTAGCACTCCTGAAGGGGGGCCGCCACGGGTATTGCACGGCCTCCGTTCGCGCCCACATGGCGGGGATGTCTCAAGCGGTTTGCCTGTTATGGTCCCCAACATCCTCCGATTTCGGAACAGATTTGGCGGATGTCTCGTGCGAGGCGCCTCCTAAAGGCGTGCCGCCAGGGGTATTGCACGGCCTTCGTTCGCGCCCAAATGGCGGGGATGCCTCAAGCGGTTTGCCTGTTATGGTCCCCAGCATCCTCCGCTTTCGGAGCAGATTTGGAGGATGTCTCGAGCGAGGCGCTCATGTTCACCCCCAGGTGGGCCAGATTTTGAGGATGTCTCGATCGGTTTGCTTGGTTTGGTCGCCAGACTCGTGGGGACAGATTCTCCTCATGATGCCACAGGAGGCTCCAAGAGGCTCCAGGAGGCCCCAGGAGGCCACATGAGGTCACAGGAGGCATCAGGAGGCCACAGGAAGACTCAAGAGGCCCAGGATGTCCCAAGAGGCTCCATGAGGCCCCAGGAAGCTCCAGGAAGCCTCAGGAAGCCACAGGAGGCCCCATGATGCCACAAGGCGCGCCAGGAGGCATCGGAAGGCAACAGGAGGCCCCGAGAGGCCTCAGGAGCAGGAGGCCTCAGAAAGCAACAATAATGGCTCCACTCCCATGTGTTTTACGTATGCTCCTATAGAGTGGGCCTCACCTGGAGCACGAATCCGTGATGTTATAAGTATGTTTATCTATCTTGTCCTTCTCCTGTGTACACAATCCTAAATCCTTTACGTCTGTTCCTATAGATTGGGCCCCCCCCTGGGGCACGAGTCCTTGGTGTTTTACGTGCGTTCTTATAGATTGCCCTTCTCCTGTGGCTCCACTCCGCAATGTTTTATGTACGCCTGTTCCTATAGATCGGGCCTCTCCTGGGCCACGAATCCTCCCTAGGATGTCCCAGGAGGCTACGCAAGGCTCCGGGAGGCCTCAGGGGGCCACTCGACCCCAGGAGGCCCCAAGAGGCTCCTGGAGGCCCCAGAAGGCCCAGGAGGTTTTTGGAGGCCCCAGGGGGGCCCAGGCTCATGCGCAGAGACGCGCTCGTACTACCGAGGCTCATTCACGCCCCAATCCGTTCGAAGTTAGATTCTGGACCAGGGCGTCACAACTCAAGCCCGCTTATATTCGAAAACTCTTGCGCCTAGACTCTCACGGCGGACAAGTCCATGCGAATAGATGCACATATGGGGAGCTCCAGGCAGTGACTCATTATTATAATTTGGGCGCCTCCTGCTCCTCATTCCTCTTTTCCTCCTCCTCCTTCTCCTCCTCCTCCTAATACCTAAACTTACTCATACACAGACTTAATCATACACATATTTACTCATACTCAGACCTGTTCATATTGACTTCCTCATACTCAGACCTACTCATACTCAGACCTACTCATACTCAGACTTACTCATGCTGATACTCACTCATGCCCAGACTTACTCATACACAGACCTTCTCATTGTCGGACTTACTCAGCACACACCAGACTGTGAGGATGTCTCAGGCGGGGCGCGGGTTCAGCACTCCTAAAGGGAGCCGCCGAGGGGTATTGCACGGTCCCGTTCGCGGCCGTTTTGTGGGGATGTCTCAAGCGGTTTGCATGTCTTCTGTCTCAACACCCTTCGCTTGGCGAGCAGATAGTGAGGATGTCTCAGGCGGGGCGCTGTTTTCAGAACCCCTAAGGGGAGCCGCCGAAGGGTATTGCACGGTCCCGTTAGCGGCCGTTTTGTGGGGATGTCTCAAGCGGTTT